TCTTCCTTCCTTCCCTTTCCTTCTTCAAATTTACCTAGCCGCCCAACTGACCACAGTGACTCTTGATAACATTTTCATTCCCAGGTGGAATTCTCTCTCTCTCTCCTTGCCCCGCTTTTCAAAGCCTTCTTCCTTACCTGGATGGCAGGTTCATGTGCCGCTAGCTCCGCTTCCAGGCGCTTGTGTTTCTTCCTCAGGTTCTGCACCCCAGTGAGGTCCCTCCCGTAGTCTTCCGAGCTCACCAGCAGCTTCTTCTCCCTGGAGTATCAAAAGGGGGGGAGGGAAAAAAGAAGGAAGTCAACTCAAGGTCCTTCCAGGGGGAATTCAAGATCCTCCACGTGGCCGAGTCCGTACTTAATCCAGGATTCCTCGTCATCCATATCTCGGAAGAACTGATGCAACCGATGAGATTCGTTCAGTTTCGCCCGCCGGCCGGCCGCCATGTTCTTGATCCGCTGGAAACGCCCGTTGATGGTGTCGCGCTTGTCCTTGACTTGGGAGGTGTCGAAAGCGCTGCTGGTCATCAGGCTATCAGCTTGGCCGTTGAGGTCCTTCAAGCGATCCTGAAGGTAGACCGAAAAGAGGACACACACACCGCCCAAGACATGAGGAGGAGCTCTCCAGGAAGGAATGAGAGAATAATGGAGTTGGAAGGGACCTTAGAGGTCTTCTAACCAACTCCCTGCTCAAGCAGGAGGCCCTACACCATTTCAGACAGGTCACTTCTTGGAAATCTCTAGTGGTGGAGCATCCACAACTTCTGGAGGCAAAGTTGTTCCACTGGTTAATTGTTCTCCCTGTCAGGAAATTCCTCCTTAGTTCTAGGTTGCTTCTCTCCTTGATTATTTTTGATCCATTGATTTCAGGTGCTCTGGAAAATAGGTTGACACCCTCCTTCTTTGTGGCAGTCCCTCAAATATTGGAATGCTGCTATCATGTCACCCCCTTAAGTCTTTATGTTCACTAAACATAACCCTTAATTCTACCCTCCCCAGCTTTCACGGAAAATTAGGCTCAGCCCCTTAACTAGACCCACATTAAAAAGGTAAAGGTCCCCCTCGCACATACGTGCTCATCGTTTCCAGTTCTAGGAGCGGTGCTCCTCTCAGTGACAAAGCCGAAGAGCCAGCGCTGTCCGAAGACGTCTCTGCGGTCACGTAGCGCATGGAACGCCGTTCCCTTCCCACCAAAGGGATCCCTATTTTTCTACTTGCATTTTTTTGACATGCTTTCAAACTGCTAGGTTGGCAGAAGCTGGGGCAAGGAACGGGAGCTCACTCCGTGACGTGGCGCTGGGGGTTCGAACCGCCGAGCGTTTTGGATTGACAAGCTCAGCGTCTTAAGCCACCGAGCCACTGCGGTTAATCAAGCAGGAATCATTTTAGATCAAGAACCTGTTATATTCCCCTCTGGGGATTCCCACCTCATGGGCAGAGATGTCCGCTTCCAGCAACTGGTGCTTCTTCAGGAGGTTGTTCACGGACGCCAGGTCTTTCCCGTAATCTTCAGACGCCAGGAGAGCTTCGACCTGCAAAGGAGCCCAACGTGCTAACTTGAAAGCGGGTCTCCACCTTTCCCTAGGATCGTGAGGGTGAAACCTATGGCACGCGCGCCACAGGTGCACACAGAACCACTGGTGCAGGCACGTGAGCCCCGGGCAAACTTACTCCGCTGCTCATGCGCATCTCCCAGCTGATTTTCGGCCTCCCAGAGGCTCGAGGGAAGCCTCTGCAGCCTTCGCAGGCCGAAAAATAGGCCTGTTTCGTCACTTCCTGTATTTACTGGAAGTGACGAAAGGGGCCCATTTTTCGGACTCCAAAGGCTGCAGCCTCTGAGAGGCCGAAAAAGGCCCGAAAATCAGTTAGGAGGCACGCGAACGCTTAATGCAGGTAAGGGCGCAGTGGAGGGGATCGCACACACATGCACGGGGGGAGTGGGGGCCCTCGTGCGTTACCTTCTGGGTGCTGGCATGCGAGCGCGCACGCAATTTTCGGCGCAGGAGCTCCCAAAAAGGTTAGCCCCCCCTTGTTCTAGGACAACGGTGGGTTTCAAACCTTCAAAGGGGCCCAAGGCCTCGATTCCCCCGGGCCCCCCCCCCCCCCCCAGAAAGAGGACGAAAGGGGAAAGGGGGTTACCTCAGAAAGCCAGAAATCGAAATCCTTGATTCCAGTGTTGAAATTCTGCTGCCTGTTGGCTTCCTTCAGCTTCTGGCTCTTCTCGGCCGATTTCTGCACCAGGAACTCCCACTGGTCAGCCAAGGCAGCCAAACGAGCCTGACGATGGAAGGAAAGGAATCCAGGCTCAGGGTGGGGGGGGAAGGAAGCTTCTGCAGGCTCCAGGCAATTGAGCTTGGCAGCTTTATCCACAGGGAACGATCAGCTGGCAGAAGGAAACTGGAAAGAGGACATTCCTGGCAAATGGCCAGTTCTCTGCCGAGTTTCCCATTCTAAGACAGAGCCATTTCCTGACCATCCAAATTGTCCCGATGCTTAGCATAGAAGCACCAAAGAGGTTGAAAAGAGCCGGTTGGGTCACCTCTGCAGCCCAACAGGCAGCTCTTCAGAAGGACAGAACATAGAAGCCTTGAGAAGTCCACATTAAGTTCCAACGGGCATAAAATCGGGGAAAACGTCATGCAGAAAAACCACCTTTTCTTGAAAGAGGTTCTCCTATATATCATTCTTCTCACTCCGTGAAACAGGGATTAATATCAGCACGCAAATTTTACTCCAGGTGGGCAAACGTGTGTGTGTGTGTGTGTGTGTGTGTGTCAACGCGCCTACCTTCACGGCTTCTTCGCTGCCGGCACAGGCACCCCGGTCAATGAGGGAGTTTCCCACATCGATGACGCCGCGGATTCGGTCGGCGTTGGCGTGCAGCTCCGCTTCGAAGGCTTGGTGCTTCTGATGCTTACTCTGAAGGTAGCAGAACAAGCCACGGTTAGAACAACTTGGAGATAAGGGCTACCTTGCAAGCGTTTTTTTAAGAGATGGGGGACGGCCAAGTTTATTTTAAAACCGATTCCAGGGCTGCCGCTCCGAACTTAAAATCCCCGTTTTATCTTCCTGAAGGAGGAAGCATCCACGGGGTTTAGGTCTGGTGAGGAACAAGGGGGAAGGAGGGGTTAACTCATTTGCAAAGGGTTGCTGGACCCCTCGGGCTTCTGAGGGGCTGGAGAACATGGACTCTGGAACTCTGGATACCCTGAGGATGAGGGGAGATTATAGTGCCACCATAGTCAGAAGGGTTTCCAGGGTGCCAAAGCGGCTTCCCCTTTCATGCGTGAATTAAAAAAGAGGGGGGTTTTGGCCATGAAAACGGGCACATGGCGCAATGGGTCGCTTCATAGTGCAACAGGGGTGGGGGATCAAAACTGCAGGAGGGGACAGGGCCTGTTTTTAATGCTGCCAAGCCCCCTTTGCGGGAAGCTGCCGGGCCCCACAGGCTCCCCTCACCACCCAGCCAGCCTGTTGCTCAAGCAAAGGCCCTGAGCACAGCGCTTGTCGGTGGATCAAAAGATGAAGCCCTCCCAACTCACCCATCCACCCAACCCTGTTTTTTCTGGGCGGTGCACAGTTACAAGGTGGCCCCTAACCCCTTTCCGTCCCATTCCACCACCCCCCCCCCAGACACACAGAAGAACAAAACAGGAAAGGGGAAGGAAGGGAAAAAAGAGAGAGAGAGAGGAGGGAGGGAGGGAGAGAGAGAGAGAGAGAGAGAGAACACACACACACATACAGTCATGAGCTGGGCTCACACACCATGGTCCAGAAAATTGGGTGGTTTGAGGTTCACATGAAAAAAAAGGCCACTGCTGCCCTCCTAATTTGGTCTCTTTATGGGGACGGAGCCGCGCTGTTTTGTTCATTTGAGGTTTAGGCCGTGGCCTATTCAGAACCGGACCTGCACACAAGGTGAGCTGGTGCATGCACGCAGCTCCGCTTGCCCAAAGCAGTGGGGGTATGCTACTGGTTCGGACCGATCAGCTGAGTTGGGAGAAAGAAGAGAAAAGCGTAGGATTGGCCCTCCCACCCGTCCTTGCGCTTTTCTCTTCTTTTATCCTCTCAGCCCGTGTGGAAAGCTGCGCGTGCCCGTTAGGTGCGCGTGAACACCCATGTGCGAATCACCAAACCGGTAGTGGATCCCACTTGCTGGCCAAAGGCGTCTCTTCTTTCTTGCACGAGTGGAGCCCCGCGTGTGTACGCTGGGCCGTTGCTCGCACAACTCGATTCCCCTCTTCCCACTCTTTCCAGCTGGGGCTGCCACGCCGCCTGCTCCCCCCCCCAGGCTGAGCGGGCCGGGCGGGCCCTGCTCAGCTCAGCTGACTCACCGAGGCTGCCTGCAAAGGACATCCGATCTGCTTTTGGGGCCCCGGGCAGCCTTGGTTGAGTCTGAAGGAGCACGAGACCGCGTCCCCCCCAAGGGCTTCTCCCTGCCAAAAGCTTTTGTGAGCAATCGGGAGAGCAATCCTCGGGCTGCTTCGAGGCCTTCTGCCCCTTTGCAAAAAAAGGCTTTTGGTAAGGAGCATGAAACCGTGCCCTGAAGCATCAGCACTAGCCCTTAGGCTCATATATTGCTTCCAGGGGTGGTATTCTACTGGTTCAGCCCAGTTCTGCCGAGCCGGTAGCAGCGACGGAGCAGCGGAGACCGAACCAGTTATCTCCACCGCTCTGCTGTTGGGCCCACCCGGCTCCCATACTCACCGTTATCCTCCGAATTTGAAGCGCAGCTGCTTTGCGCCGTTAAGAGCGCCACGCGGCAGCTGCTGAAGAGACCGGGAGAGCGCAGGCTTGCAGGAGGTGAGTTAGAACGCCTCTGCGCCCGCGCAAAGTGCGCGTTTGGTGCACACGCCAAGTGTGTGGACACGCGCAAACCAAGCCCATTGCCAATTGGTGGTAAAAAATATTTGAATCCCACCACTGACCGCTTCCCGGTGCTTTTACAGCCCCCTCTAAGCGGTTCACACGGGGAGCGGAACAGGAATTCAAATCTGGCATTTTTAGGGGAGGCTGAGGACAGCCTCAGACAGAAGGTTTTGAAAGACAGAGACAAGAGAAGATTCAACGTCCTTCCTCTTGGGTGGAATATACATATACATTACATATATATATATGTATTTATATTTATATATAAAGGGGGTGCAAGCAGGTCACCATCAAAACTCAAGCAGGTCATGCTGCAAAGTGAACAGGTTAATGGGGGAAGAGGCACTTAACAAGAAAGACAAAAGACAGTCCGTGTCAAGGCGAGGAAACGACAAGCAATCACCGAGGGAGTGGTTAAAAATATATATATATATGACGACGATGACGGAAGAACGAACGAGCAGATGAGTGAATGAAACATAAAAGACTTCAACACAAATGAAGCCAAATTAAGTCGGGGTCTTTCAACTTACCAGGAGTTTGGAAAGCTATAAAAAACAGACGGGGGGGGAGAAAGAGAAGAATAGATCAATGCGACCTCTGCTGATCCAGGAAGGGCAATTTTTAAATTTTGAGTCTCTGGGATGACATTTCTTTTAAAAAAAAGCAGATTTAATTTCTGAGGGTAGAGCTGCGTGCAGGCAGCTAGGAGGTATTGGCAAAAGGGAAATTGTCTAACGGAGATTCCCAGTCCTCCAGGTCATGGTTGTCCCAAAGGTGCTTTTCCCAAGACTTTCTGGTTTTTCTTTGAAGATGTTTCGTTTCACATCCAAGAAGCTTCTTCAGCTCTGAAAACGTCTTCGAAGAAAAATGAGGGAAGTCTTGAAAAAGGATCTTTGGGACAACCATGACCCAAATCTCCACAGACATTTGTGAGATAAAAGCATCCTTTCTCCTTTCGGAACCAGGGTTGAATAGTAGCCTAATTGAGGAGAGCATTCGTTATGTTCTTATTCACCTGCGGACTCTGGAACCTATGGAAGATGAGGCGCGAGGGAATGGTTCTTCCCCTTTCCTGGTGTTAAACCCTGGTGTTTTACTCTGGGTTTATGGAGATTCTCCATCCTCCAGGTCATGGTTGTCCCAAACATGCTTTTTTTTATCAAGAGGAAACTGGACTTTCTGGTTTTCCTTTGAAGGCGTTTCGCTGCTCATCCAAAGAAGCTTCTTCAGCTCTGACTGGATTCAGACCTTCCATTCCTCCACCATCCAATCAGAACTGAAGCAGCTTCTTGGATGAGAAGCGAAATGCCTTCAAAGAAGAAAAAAAAACACGGAAAATCCAGCTGCCTCTTGGAAGAAAAAGAAGAAGGGGAAAAAAACAAAACACCTTTGGGACAAAATGGAAAGTCTTATTTTGTAGGAGGAGCGAAAGGCCTTGAAAACTGGATATTCTAATGCCACTCTGGAGTTGGTCCCAGGGAAAACATACCTAGTAGCATTTGGGGTTTCAGTGTATGAGAAAAGTGGTCTGGAAAGAAAGGGTCCCCCCCCCCAAAAAAAACACTTATGGCGGATTCCTGGATGAGAAGGGCAGAAGGGAAGGGTTGAAGTTGATGGGGAATTCTGGGAATTGTAATCCCAACAGGGCTGAGAAGGTTGAACCATCAGGTAACATCTAACACCATTTGTGGGGGCCCGCGAGCTCCAGCCAAACTTACCTGCACTACGCACGCACAAACCCACCCCCCCAGCTGATTTTTGGCCTGTTTGAGGCTGTTTTCGGCTTCCCTGAGGCTCAAGGGAAGCCTCTGCAGCCTCGGGAGGCTGAAAAACGGGTGTAAGGAATGTTAAGTCACCTAACAGTTGGGTGAGAAAATATATAAACCAGGATACACATTTTAATACTGTCTCTTTAAGGGAATGCTAAAATTGTAATTGGGTGTGGTTCCTCAAATGGCCATAAGATGGAGCCAGAAACTTGGGTTGTTCTGTTGTTGCTGAGAGTGTGTTCCTGCATTTCCCTATTGACTGTTACTGATCATCGTTATTCTTGCATTTGATGTAAGTCTGTTACTGAACTGATTATGATACTGGACTTTGTTATTGGATTATCCCTGGACTGAAAACTGACTGCTTTAACCGTGAATGACTTGGACTGCTTGTTGGACTTTGCTTAAACGGTTTTGCTGGAAGTAAAAAATCTACATTTTACTATACAGTGTATCTGTGTGCTGGTTGTGTGTTATTCTTCACCACTCTCACTACGTCTCCCTGCGTGCGCTCATTCTCCTAACGGGGAATTACCTCAACAACGGGCCTTCCTGAAATATCAGAAGTGTCGAAACGGGCCCCGTTTTTGGGCTTCCAAAGGCTGCAGAGGCTTTCCTTCGAGCCGCCCAGGAGGGCGAAAATGGCCTCCTCCGGGCTCCAGAGGCCCTCTGGAGGCTGAAAACGGGCACCTCCAGGAGGGCGAAAAAGGCCTCAAATGAACCGGAAATCAGCTGTGAGGCACACCCATGTGCAGTGCAGGTAACAGAGGCATGGGGAGGAGGGTTTGCATGCGCAAGGGGGGGGGGGGCGGCGCGCATTGCCTTCTGGATGCGCTCGCAATTTTTGCCACGGGAGCCCAAAAAGATTAGCCACCACTGGTCTAATAGGATCCAGTCCAATCCATTTTGGGACTTACAAGGGAAGGAAAGTTTTGCTATTCTTAAAAATTTTCAGGTAATTCCAGATACAGGTGGACCTTGACTTACAATTATTTGCGTAGCAACCATTCAAAGTCACATCAGTGCTGAAAAAGAGACTTATGACCGCACAGGTAGTCCTCGACTGACAACAGTAGAGCCCAAACTGTCTGCCATTAAGCGAGACATCTGTTCAGTGAATTTTCCATCATTTGACCACCTTTCCTGCCAGCGTTTCTTAAGGGAATCGCTGCAGGTGTTAAATTAGTGACACAGTTGTTAAGCGAAGCTGGCTTCTGTCAGAAGGTTAACAAAACGTTGATCCCGGGACACCGTCATAAATGTGAGTCAGTTGCCAAACATCCAAATTTTCACCACGTGACCATGGGGACACCGCAAATGGTCGTAAGCGTGAAAAACTGTCGTTAAGTCACATTTTTTCCAGTACTGTTGTAACTTCGAACGTTCACTAAATGGGTGTAAGTCGAGAACTACATGCACTGCTCCTGTTTACACCATAAATCTGGTTTTGAGGACCTTTCGTGGCCAGCCACAACCCACCTGCCTTCCAGTTTGGGGGTCCCAAGCGGGGCCTCACCTGAATATTGGTGGGATCTTTGTAGGATTCGTCACTTGCTGTCTGAAGCTTCTCACTGATCCAGGCCTCGATTTCGTCCACGTCTCGGCTGAACTGCTGCAGCGTTTGGGATTCCCCGAGCTTAGACCTCTTTTCGATCATCTGAGCTTTCAGCCGGCGCCACCTGTGGAAAGGAACCACCTTCCTTTGCATCGGGGCGTCCACTCATAAAACATTCCTGTGCCTGTTTTAGTAGTTGCCATAAAAAAGGGGGGGAAAGCGAAACTACATTCCAACTCTTATCATTAAAAGATTGTAACTAAAATACCAGAGCTTTTGCCCAGGAATATGTTTAATTGGAAAACGTTGATTGATGACACCTAGCCCGTGAAAGGTGCTCAATTGGAGAACCTAATTTATGACACACCCAGGGGGCAGGGGGGGAAACAGGGTCACAGTAAATGACGTATGCCAGAGTTGGCTTCATACAGGGCAGGGCCAGTATGTCGCCTCTAATAGATCCTTTGAAGTTTTTTGAAGTTTGGCTCGAGAATCATGATTTCATTAGAGCGATTGCTGGAATCGTGACACGGGGAGGACTTGCCAACACGCCAAGGGCCAGGCAGCAGGTGTCAGCAACTCACGGCTCCAGAGCTGCAGGCAGCTCTTTGGGTCCTCTGCTATGGCTCCCTGTTGGGTGGTCCTACCACTGGCTGGCCCTGCCCCTCGCCCTCCCCCTCCCAGTCACTCCTCGTCTGGCCTGAGAAGGTAAAACACAAAAAACAGAAATAGAGGGAGGGAAGGAGAGAGAGAGAGAGAGAGAGACCCATTTCCCACAGAAAACACCGTGAGCCACAAAACCTGAGTAGGTATGGTGGGCAGGTGTGTGTCATATGACTGGGTGGGCGTGACATTGAGTTGGCCACGCCCACCCAGATTTTGTGGTTCCCAGTGTTTTCTTTTCTGTGGGAAACGGGTCCAAATGGCTCTTTGGGTGTTTAAGGTTGCAGACCCCTCTTGGGCCAAGGGAATGACCCAGACCCAGAAGCCCACTCACCTGTCCAGCACCTCGTGGCGCCTGGTGGCAATGACCCCTTTCGCGTAATGGTCAGTGGAAATCAGCTGGTCGGCAAAGGACTGGAGGGCGGCGATCTTTTCCTCCTACATAAAAATCAAAAGGATACATTGGAAGAATGTCAGGCACCGGGATGGGGGTGCCTTCGCAGCGAAGCCGGAGCGAGGTTTGCGTAGTGGAAAAAGGATGCGCACTAATTCCTTGTGTGTGTCCAATCACACTTGGCCGATAAAGAATTCTATTCTATTCTACTCTGAAAAGCAATCGCTGTCACTCTCACGCTGGCTGTGCCAAACACAAGACAGCGGCCTAGTTTTTGAGCAAGGACACACTGCCCATAATTAGTTAGCAGAGATGGCTAAATGGATCACTTTGATTAAAGAAAAGAACGCCATTAATTTTTTGTTTCCACTTGGAAACCACTTCTGGGCCTTGTGCTTGTAAACGTAGAAGCTTGAGGTTTTACGTTACGACCTTATTTTATGGCACCCAAAGGAGTTGGAAGTCAATGCCTTTTCTTTTTCTCTTCCCCTTTCCCTCCTTTATTTTCCCATTATGGAGCCTCGGTGGCGCAGTGCTTAGAGTGCAGTACTGCAATCTACTCCCACTGCAATTTGGCAGATCGAATCCCACCAGGCTCCAAGTTGATTCCACCTTCCATCCTTCCGAGGTGGGTAAAATGAGGACCCAAAATTGTTGGGGGCAAGAGGCTGACTCTGTAAACCGCTTTGAGAGGGCTTGTAAAGCACTATAAAGCAGTATATAAGTAAGCGCCGTTGCTATTATCTTCGTTTTCCTTTGTATTGCTGCATTTTATTACTTTGATGTACTAATCAAAAGAACGCTTTGTAGTCATTTCTGTGTTTGTCACAGCTTCACAAGCAACCCCACCTGGACATTGATGGCCTTGTCGAAGTCTTCGTGCTTCTTGATCAGGGCTTCCACGCTGTCCAGAGAGTCCCCCTTATCTTCGGTATTCAAAAAGGCCTCCCGTGCGGCCATCCAGTTCTCCGCCTGCTCACAGTCCCTGTGGAAGAGCTGAACACAAAGACAAAACCCATCAGTGAAACATGGGTGACATGTACCCAGTTTAGCCCCAGGTGGCGTGTCAATCCCGTGTTGTGGCCAGCCTTCTCCTCTCCACAGGTATCTCACTACACAGAGGAGGTGTGTGGCTGTGCCTGCCTTTTCTGAAGTCGATAATGATCTCTTTAGCCTTTTCCCCCCCTTTGTTTAAAACGAGGCTGTTTTTATTACACCGGTTCATCAAACCCCTCTGCCTCCTCCTTGTGGTTAGCACTGTCATGGCCCCTGGTGGAGACTGACTCCGAGGGAGAGGAGGAACAGCCGACAGGGAGTGGAAGTGTGGCTCCGGAGGTTGTGGAGGAGGCTGGGGAAGGGCAGAGGCCGGCTGGGCAGTCAGAGGAGGACCCAGGCCCATCCACTATCCATCCTGGGGCACGCAGGGAGGAGAGGATAAGGGAGAGATGTGGTCTCCTCGGGAGGAGAGGGCCTTGATCTTCTTCATGGGCTGCAGCTGTGACAAGTGAATTAACAGTATGGACCTGTGTACGGGCGAACGCTGGAAAAAAAGCGTGGAATTATCTCTAGTTTATGGTTCCTCTCTGAGTTTGGCATCCTTCCTAGTGTGTGTTATCTGTGGGCATCCTCCAGCCCTTATCTTGCCTGGTTTGTGTTGCTTTTTCCCTTCTTCGTGTAACTGTTTGTGTGGGAGTTTTTTTGTCTTCCATCAAAAGATATTCGGAGCTTGGAAGCAAGGTGAAGGAATAAAAGGGGCTTCACCTGTTTTCTGCGACTGTGCTTGTTTTGTATCCCACCCTGGGTCATCACAAGCACCCTGGTTGTCATCCTGAGTAAGGCCCAGCTGCCTTTTGAGGAGACGTGGCCGGAGGCTACATTCCAGGAACTAATCTCGGCCACCCGAAGGGGAAGAAAGGGTTGGATTTTTGGCCACACGGAACCTTACCTGCAATTCCAGGCACTGGTCCAACATCATTCGACGTTGGGCCCAGGCCTTTTCCAAGTCGGCTCGTTCCTGGTCAAGGATGTCCAGCTTCTCCTTGATTTCAGGGCTGGCGTAGTGGCCACGGGCCAGGAGCTGCTGCCCAAACTGCTCAAAGGCCTGGAAGGTGCCTGCTCTGGCGTCGATTTCGGTGCGGTGTTCCTGAAAGGGAGCGAGATGCAAGGGCTTGCGGGGGGGAAGACCTTCTCAAGAAGGTCAGCAGTGGGCAGGCAGGTGCTTGGGCTTATAGAAGGGAGAGGTGGGGGGGCAAATCCCTGGCTTTCTAAGAGACCCACCTACAGCCATAGAAACCACAGCATTTAGGGAACAGCGAGACACATTTTTTTTGATGCTAATTCCTAAAGACCTCTAAAAACGGCCGAAATGTTGTTTAAATTTGTCCCCGTCAGCAATGGGCAGTTTTAGGCCAATGTCCGAGGACTCGGGAGACTAATCCAAGGGTCATCCAAGAAGCTGCAGAAAACGGGCCTCAGCTATCCTAGGTCAACGTTTCCCTCGCAATACGGGCTGGTCGTTTCCGGCTCTAGGGGGGCGGTGCTCCACTCCATTACAAAGCCGAAGAAGAGCCCGCGCTGTCCGGAGACATCTCTGTGGTGGTCATGTGTCCGGCAGGACTAAACGCCTTTGAAGGCACACGGAACGCTGTTTCCCTTCCCACCAAAGGGGTCCCTATTTTTCTACTTGCATTTTTTTTTACATGCTTTCAAACTGCTAGGTTGGCAGAAGCTGAGATGAGGAACGGGAGCTCACTCCATGATGCGGCGCTAGGGATTCGAACCGCTTGAAACTGCCAGCCTTTCTGATTGACAAGCTCAGCGTCTTAGCCCCTGAGCTACCACTTGTCCCTTTCAGCTATCCTAGCGCAGTTTTTAAAAGCGGGTCTGGGGTCTTCACGCTGTAGGGGGAACCTTCACGTACTTGGTGTCTCTCCAATAAGGCTTCTGCTCCGGTCACGTCCTTGGCCAGCTCATCGGAGGACACGAGGCCTCGGATCCCGTTGATCCAAGACATGAGGTCCCTGGGCAAAGAGTAAGGAAGAGAGCAACCCGGTTACACAGGCAGGTCTCCGGGGAGGTAGTGGGGGTGGCGGAGACCCTGAGCCTTTGCCCCTGAACCCACCTGAAGTCGCTGAGGAAGCGCTGCAGGTCGTGGGACTCGCCCAGCTTCTCTTTGCGCTGGTTGGCCCGTTTCCCAAGGCTGTTCCAAGCCTGGTTCAGTTCTGTGCATTTTTCCTGGAGATCTTCCGATGATTCGGGGTGGGACTGGATCAGCCGCTCTGCTGTTTCTCCCAGAGAGTTGACCTGGAGAGAGAGGGGGAGAGAGAGAGAGAGGGAAGGGGGGGGAGAGGGAGAGAGAGAGAGAGGTGATCAGGAAGGATGGAATATTTTTGGCCCTAAAAAAAGAGAGATTTTTTTTCTAGTTTTGGGGTTTGGCTAGTCTCAAGAAAAGAAGAATTAGGGGTGACACGATAGCAGTGTAGAGTTTCCTACATAGGCAGGGGGCTGGACTAGAAGACCTCCAAAGTCCCTTCCAGCTCTATTTCTATTTCTTATTCTATTCCATTTCCTATCCTATTCCGTTCCATTCCATTTCAATTTCTTATTCTATTTCTATTTCTTATTCCATTTTATTTCTTATTCTACTCTAACTACTATTCCTATTCCATTCCATATTTCTATTCTATTCTGTTCCAATCCATGATCCTCTCTTACCTTGTCCCCAAGGGCTGCCAGGTCTCTCTCAAAGCCCTCATGCTTGCGTTGAAGGGCCTGCACGCTCGCCAGATCGTGCCCGTAATTGTCGGTGTTCAGGGCCTGATTCTTCTCTTCGATCCATTCCTTGGTCTCGTCAGCATCTCTGGAAGGCCACAATAATATGGATAAGAGCTCCGACGTTGTCCAGCCCTTTTGGGCAGGTGGTCTGGACAGGCAACCCCCACACGCACGGACATCGAAGGCAAAATCCTTTCCCCCCCCAATCAGCCCAAAAACTCAACCGGACCAATCGTGGCCTTTCAATTCTGGCTGGGCAGCAGCCTATCAGATCCAGTTAGGAGGGATATGGCAGGGTCACCACAGCAGCTCTCTCCTCACCTGTGGAACCGCTGGACCTCATGGGCGCTTCCCAACAGCTGGCTCCTCTCTTCGGCCAGCTGCTGTAGAGCTCGCCAGCGCTCGTTCAGCTCCTGGAGAACGAAAGAAGAAAATAAAAGAAGAGAGTATATCAACGCAAGACATGCAGCAATGTCCTTTAAAGGAATGAAGGCTTAATTAAAGGCCTTCTGAACACAAGTAATTTGTAAGCTAAGGCAAGAGTCTTCCAACTTGGCAAGTTTAAAACTGGTGGACTTCGACTCCCAGAATTCCTGAGCTAACATGGCTGGAGGAGGAATTCTGGGAGATGAAGTCCAAAAGTCTTAAAGCTGTCAAGTTTGAAGGCCCGTCTAACATGGGGGGGCCTTCAACATCGGCCATTTTAAGACTTGTGGCCTTCAACTCCCAGAATTCCTGAGCTAACATGGCTGGAGGAGGAATTCTGGGAGATGAAGTCCAAAAGTCTTAAAGCTGTCAAGTTTGAAGGCCCGTCTAACATGGGGGGCCTTCAACATCGGCCATTTTAAGACTTGTGGCCTTCAACTCCCAGAATTCCTGAGCTAACATGGCTGGAGGAGGAATTCTGGGAGATGAAGTCCAAAAGTCTTAAAGCTGTCAAGTTTGAAGGCCCGTCTAACATGGGGGGCCTTCAACATCGGCCATTTTAAGACTTGTGGCCTTCAACTCCCAGAATTCCTGAGCTAACCTGACTGGAGGAGGAATTCTGGGAGATGAAGTCCAAAAGTCTTAAAGATGTCATGTCTGAAGACCCCTGAGCTAAGGAAAGTAGGGCAAGAAAATCCGGCTGATGTTGTTTACCCAGTCTGGTAATGAAACGTTCAGAAACCAAATTGAAGCAAGCTTGGACAGCAAACCACTGCCAAAATGATGGTGTCAGGTTTCCAAGTGACTTATGACATTTTACAGTTACTTTTGTAGCATCCCCATGATTACGTGTCCAAAATTCAGACGCTTGGCAACTGATTCATACTTATGACTGTTGCTGCGTCCCAAGGTAGTGTTCTGACCCAAGCCCTTTCCCAATAAAACAAACACGAACCAAAGGGAACAGAAACCTTTGAATGATTCTTACGAATCCCCGGTTAAAAGGCTGCTGCAAACTAATCAACTTTGATAAGCACGAGCCTCGCCAAGACTGTGCGAGGCTGCCAAGAATCACAGATAAGAAATATTTGACAACACAAGAGTCTTCAAATACCAACTAAGATACTGCAATGTCCACGAGGCTGAGTTTCAAAACGTCTTTGCTTCCTGCAAAGAGCGTCCAATTCACAGCTGCCTTTTATCTTCTTGAAGGAGGGGCCATTGCAGCCTTACTCCCAAATCGCCCGTGCTGTTGCAGCTGCTCTTTCCTGCGAGCAATCCTGTGCACACACACACTTGGCACAGGCTCCTCGGGAACCTCCTCATCGCTGCTGCCAGCCCCCCACAATCTCTGAAGGCAGCAGTCCACTCCCTGATGGCCCTGGCCCCTCATCTGAGTCCTCGCTCTCCTCAGCCGTCCGCACCTGCTGCCGGCTAACCACAACAGGTAGGGTTCCCTGCCTAGGCAGGGGGTTGGACTAGAAGACCTCCAACTCTGTCATTCTATTCTATTCTAAGGCCACGCGATCCCCTTTTGCAACCTTCTGACAAGCAAAGTCAACGGGGAAGTCAGATTCGCTTAACAACCGGGTTAATTAACTTACCAACTGCGGTGATTCACTTAACTGTGGCAAGAAAAGGTTGTAAAGTAGGGCAAATCTCACTTGACGAATGTCTCACTTAACAATAGAAATTTGGGGCTCCATTAATACAGTCGAGGACTCCCTGCATTAAGTTTTTAAAGTGGATGGAATTTGAAAAGTCGGATCTTTTGGAACTGTTTCCATTCAGTGGTGGAGCTTGATCCTTACCTTGATGGAGTTGAATGTTGCTACTGTGTGTACCATCATTCGCGCAGACTGGAGACAGAACAGGAATTGAAAGCAAGAAATTACAAAAAGTCCCATTAACTGCACAAAAACAGTAAATAAAGATAC